CACACACACACACACACACACACACACACACACACACACACACACAAAGAGCGAGAGTGAAAAATCATTAACAAGCAACGTGAACTGAGTCCAGCCCAATAAATAAAGACTCAAAAGGTTCAGCAGAATATTTTCTGGGTCATTTGATCACTAAAAACAAAATCTAAAACAACTAGAGAAATTGCATTTCCTGTGATAATGCAGTGTGAATACTTATTGCTGTAGAACATGATGAAAAACAGCTGAAATTAGTTTGTTTTTTCTTTATTAAACTTGCTGAAATGTAGCTGAAATGGAAGAATAAGTCAAAGTTAGCAGAAGAAAGTAGAAAGAACACAAATTTGCTGGATTGGGTTTAAATAAGCAGAAATGAGCACAAAAAATAGGAATTTAGCTAAAGAAAAGCTGAACTAACCAAGAAATAGCTGAAAATTAGCTTAAAAAGCAGAAAGAAGCTTAAATTAGCAGAAGGCAGTGGAGAGAGCACCATTTCACCCAAGTAGACTGAAAGAAGCAGAAATGAACACAAAGAAGTGGAAATTATCTGAAATAAGCAGAACTTTCCCCAAAACAGCTGAATTGCAGCTAAAGAATCAGAAAGAAGCTTAAATTAACAGAAGGAAGCAGAAAGAGTAAGTTTATCCACAACCAGTCAGATTACTAAACTCTCCATAAATAACACTGAACAACTGGCAATAACATTGCACCAAGCCACATCTGTGACAACTAAAATGACTAATACTAGCTTGTGAGAGCTAACGTGTTTATTATTTACTGCTGCTGCACTATGTGGCTGTATCATGTATGATAGTATCTACCTTACCATCATAATTCAATCGCCATGCCACTATGTGCAATAACCTGTCAGCACAATGGCTCAGTGGTTAGCACTGTTGTCTCACAGCAAGAAGGTCCTCAGTTCAATCCCCGGTTGGATCTGGGGTCTTAATGTGTGGAGTTTGCATGTTCTTCTTGTGCTTGCATGGGTTTTCTTGGTGTACTCTGGTTTTCTCCCACAGATCAAAAACACACGTTAGGCTGCTTTCAGGCCCAGGCCTCCCTGGCAAAAAAGATCTGTGCTATCAACGGGATTTTATATATATATATATATATATATATATAGTATGCATTTTAGCTAGCTTGAAATTCTTATTCATTTAAATTCATCCTGCTTGCACCGTTATATTCTACCTTGTTGTTGTTTACTATTTCTCTTTAGGACATTGTAAATATTATAAATAGTTGTTCCCTTTTTGGTACTTTATTTTTGTACTCTTATTGCATGCTTTAGTATTTCTTGTTTGTTTTTTTCTTTGTTTTTAGTGAATCAAATCGGTTCTTCTCATCCTAAGACTTTCATTGTACTTTTAACCTTGTGTTAAACTTGCATATGACAAATAAACACAACTTGAACTTGAGTTTGTCCAGTTAGGCTGAAAGAAGCAGAACAGAAAAAAAAAAAAGGACATCTGAACAGTAGCTAAAATAGCAGAAACAAGCTTGAATTAGCAAAAGGAAATGCAGAGAGCACAGTTGTTCCCAATTAGGCTTAAAGAAGCAGAAATTAGCACAAAAAAGTAGCTAAAACAGCAGAAACAAGTTTAAGTTACCAGAAGGAAGTGCAGAGGGCACATTATTCACAATAATTAATAAGCATTCACACAACTTTTCTAAGCTTACATAAAAATAAAATAACATTTATGGATGTACTGCTTTGTGCCATGCTGAGACATGAAACAGCTGGAGCAGCAAAACTGTTCCACTTTTGAAATGTTGCCATCCCTCGTCTCTACACATCCTGGCTTCGAAAGAAAGAAGTTCACATGTTTCATGTGTTCTTTTGTCCCATTTATTATGGCATCACATGTCAACATGTGCAGTAGCATGCAGAATATGTTCTCTCTCCTTCCCCGCCCCCTCCCCCACCACATGTTCTTTTCTGGAAACAAGCGGACTCAGTCCAGCACTTGTTTCCTCGTCTTCTTCAGATAGACCTTTGCAATGTGGGTGGAACATGACGTTGCTTTTCTTGTAAAGTTAGTTAGTTAGTTAGTTAGTTAGTTAGTTAGTTAGTTAGTTAGT